GAAAGGGAAAGGGAAAGGGAAAGGGAAAGGGAAAGGGAAAGGGAAAGGGAAAGGGAAAGGGAAAAGAGACTAAAGACAAAACCTATGTTCAAATAGCTAATTTAATTCTTGAATAATTGAGAATACTTTCAGATGGACTGTGCGTGAAAATAGAAAAGAAAATAATACAAATTTGTCATGGTTTATTGCAACTTTGTACACTGAGTTGATTTATTTTTACTTGGTCTTTACAGCTGAGAATTCCTTTTCTCATCCCATCTGCAGCGTGTCTTGCTTGGAGCAGAGTTTGTTTTGTTGATGGACATAAATATTTGAATCTGTCTATGAGGAGGATTTGGTGGCTGGGGAAATTGGTAATAGACTATAGCGCATTTCGCCCCAAGGGTCACTAGTTCACATCCGTATCAGGTCAATAGCAGCAGAAAGTCATTATGGATCTGGCTGGCATCTGTCTTGTAGCCACTGCCAAATCATTTAAAAATCCCTGTCCAATTCCACGTGGCCAGGTGTTCTCCCTTTTCCCCGAAGCAGTGGTCTGCAGCAGACCTCCTCGGCTGGCCTCTCACTACCTGCTCCCAAGGAAGGGACACGGCCCCGTTTCCTGGAGGACCCCTTCATCTCCCGGGCGTCCCAGGCATCAGCGCATTCCGGTACCTGCCGCCTCTCAGCACAGCCCTGGAGAAGGCAGCAAGGTGCCTGTCCCGAGTTCCTGGACGTACATTCCTGGAGCGGGTGTCTCATCCCGGCCCCGGCCGCGGCCCCGCCCGCTCCGCCCCGCCGGCGAGGCCGAGGGCGCCCCCCGGGGGCCTCTCCCGGCTCTGCACCGCCCGCGGGCGGCGGGGCCGGGCGGCACCCGGCACGACCCCGGCACAGACACAAGGCAGCCGCCCCCGGCACCGACCCCCTGCCCTGCCCCGCCTGCCCCACACCCCCTGCCCGGCCCCGGGGGGCGCTGCCAGAGCCTTTTTCGGGCATTGTCAGAGATTCTTGCCGCACTTCGGCCGCTTTCTGATTTCGGGGAATGAGAAAGGGGAGGGAAATGCGTGACTTCAGTTCGGGAACCGCTCGGGAGGCGGCGGTGCCACCAGGCCGCCTGGCCCTTGGCCGCTGCTTGGGCCCGGGCAGCGGCGCCCGGCGGGGCTGCCCCGGGCGGGCCCTCGGTCGGGGCACCACGTTTTAACCACGTGTGTAGAAAGAGGTCCGTGTAGGACCATTGTGTAGAGCCTTCCTCCATCCCTTCTCCTCCCCCTCTTCTCTTCGAGGGGAACTGAAATCCGAACGGTGAGATGTAGGAGAGCGTGAATCCCCGTGAATCCCATCTGAATAAATGTCTATATTAATGAATTATTAACTCTGCCGCTCGTGACCTTAAAACTGGAATGAGGAGATGCCTAGGGCAAGAAGGAAAGCTGCTGAATCCTTTATCGGACTCCTGTCAGAGGTAACCGACCATTTGTCTTCCCCAGATCAGGAGAATTAATTAATATGAAAGGCAAACTTTTTAATTGTGTGTCAAACGAAATCAGATAGGGTGTCCCCGATTCAATCCCTTTCTAAAGAGGGTTTAGCTCCTTTTTCTACCCCCAGCGTAAAATAAAGCCTTCGAGTTTCCAAAGAGAAGGGCATCTCTCTTAAGTGTTATTTACAAAACAAAACCCAAGCAACCAAAAAAAAAAAAAAAAATCCAAGAAAAATCCCAAACCCGGCCAAACACCCTAAAAGGGAAAAAGAAACAATCGCAGGGAATATGATGAATTTGGGTAGTTAATTTATCGATCTTGGCTCCTCTTCTTGCTTGTTTTATTTTAGAGGTCATTAATCAATGAAGAAAAACACCACCGTGTTCCCCTTTTGCATTTAATACACTTACCCTCCTTATTTATTTCTTTTGAACAAATTCCTAGCAAATATTCACCAATCGATTTGTAGGCGATGGATTTTTATAAAGGTTTGATCGCTTTCTAAATGGTCAATGTGATTTGTTTCAGCACTCGTCCTCTAAATAATGAAAAAGCCTGAGAGAAGAGAAAGAAGCAGGCAGTAGTTGAAACCTTCCCCCCCCTCCCCCCCCCCGCTTCTCTACATCCTGGAGGAAGAAATAAAATAATTTTTAAAAAAATAATGAAAAAAAACCGCAGAGGAGAAATAGTAATAAACAGACCGTAGACAAACTCGGTGGAGGCAGAAGGGACGCGCACAAACCTCTCTGCCTTGGGAAGAGAGACCAGAGGTCAGGTCTGGCTAAAGACACCCCAGGGAGGCGCAGGTTCAGGGCTGGGAGCTGGTGGATCTGCCTACTCTGCTCTTCCCGAGGGGGTGAAAGGGGCCGGGAGCGGCGGTGTGTCGGAGAGGCTGGGGGAGAAGCCATCCTCTGCCCTGATGAGGCACGCCGCTCCCTTCCCGCCGACCCGGTGCGGGGAGCGCTGCTCTCCCCGCCCGCCGCTCGGCACCGGCACTGACCCGCTGCACGGCGACCTTCCCCGCGGCAGCGCTCCTGCTCTCCCACCCCGGTCGAGTGGACCAGGCACAGCGGGGTAGCTCGTCGTCAAGGAAAAAGGCCATAGGACAAGGCTTGGCTTATGGGGTCCGCCCGCCCCCGCCGCCCCCGCCTGAGCGAGTACCGACCGGACCGGCGGCAGAGCCGAGGCCGCGGGCCGGGATCCCTCCCTGCCGCCCGCTGCCCGCACGGCCCTGAGCACCGGCGAGGACAGCGAGCCCTGTACTTCTTTCTACTTCTTTCTTCCTTTGCTCCGGGTCGGTAGGATCCCGAGGTGTCAAGGGAACCTATGAATTTTATTCTGCCACCTTGATCGCTCAAGGAGCTACTTTGCTGTCTGTAAAAAAAAAAAAAAAAAAAAAAAAAAAAAAAAAAAAAAAAAAAAAATCACAACACCACAGCAACAGATTATAGTCCTACTAATATGAACCCGCATGGAATACTTCTGCTAACAACTCGAGGGAAGTGCGGATATTGACAATGTACTTAAGCCCATTAGTTAGGAGCTTTTCCCCACTTCATCACGTTTTTCTAGCACGAAACGAATTTTAGAGATTGCTGCCACAAAAAGCAATTCGGTATTTTTAAAAGGCGTCCAGTAAGGAATACAACCATAACGCAGATGTACACGTTTAAAAAGGAAGATAAATGGAAAGAGTCGGATGGGACGGAATAAAATTTGAGCTGGTTAGGGACGAGGCACTGTATTAATGCAGTGAAAACAGAGAAAACTAAGCGCACCCACTGTCAGTGTACCCAGCACCGCGCTGCGCACACTTCAGCCACTGTGGAACAGACTCCCAGCCCATACCTCTGTCCCTCAGCTGAGCGGTAGCGCTGTGAAACTTCAGAAAGTGGATTAACAGAGAGAGGGATGAAAATTATTACATGTTGCACGATGGAATTGATCGAAGACATAAAGAAGGTTTTTATAGCCAACTTTATAACCCATAAAAATGGTGGTTGGGGGGGTGTTCCTATTCGTGTTTGCCTTTAGCTTAGGTGTTATCAATCTATACAGCAGATGATGGATGACCTTGTCAAAATGACGCCAGTCAAAACATTTTTTGCCCCAGCCCTGTTCAAATTTGTGTTAAAATGTCCTGCCTTAGACAGACAGACAAAGTCTAAACAGCAGCAGCTTTCCCAGGCTCTGCGAGAATGAAGGGTGGGAAAGAAATAAACTAGAAATAGGGCGGGGGGGGTGGTAAGCGAAAGCAGTTTACACGCGCAGACGTTATGTTTGTAGGAAGTTGAACATTTCGTGTCACCTGTCTATGGAAGCTAAGATGTTTTGGTGAGATAAACACTTTGAGTAAGGATTTTGTCCTAAATGCAAGGCATACTATGTACACGTGATATATCTAATAGATCATAGCTCTCGTCTGGTTTTTCATATGGTGTAGGAAAGAAACTGAAAAAAACCCCAAACCTGTTAAATATTCACTGATACGTGACTGCTCAACAACTGAGCAGTAGAGCGGAAAACTTGTAAGCAAATTTCTAAGCTAAGTGGAGAGAAAAAGTCGTTCGGGATGCGAAGTTTCTTGCCACAGGTTTCATCTCCCTCTGTCATACTTCTTGCTCTCTGCTGTAACCGAGTACAAAGAGCAGGAGAGAGGCGTGCTAGTAGTGCTGGAGGGTGCGACGTCTGAGGAGGGAGAAACTAGGGCGGTTCCCTCAGATGTGTTGGGACCCCCTGGGACTAGTCTCAGGTAGAAGACGGGAATGGGAGGCAGGTCATCCCATCAGACACGTTAAGTAAAGTGGCTGGGACAGTATCAGGTCAGGGTGAATAGGTCTTTAAAGTCGGTCCTAGCCCCCGAGGGGCGAAAGGTAAGCGACGAAAGACCACAGCTAACGGGAGGCTGGCCGCCCGCGAGGCTCTTGGGCCGGAGGAGCCGGAAGCTCCCGCAGCCTGGCGCTGGGAACGGTGCGGAGGCAAGGATCCCGCTCTGGACGGCGCCGAGCCATTGCTCCCCTCCCGTCAGGATAAAAGCCCAGCTCTTCCCGGGGCGCTGTGGTCCCGGGGCTAAGGAGAGAGAGAGAGACAGAGACAGAGAGAGAGAGAGACAGAGACAGAGACAGAGAGAGAGAGAGAGAGAGAGAAAGAGAGGGAGGGAGGGAGGGAGGCTGGAGAGAAGGAGAGAGGGAGGGAAAGGTAGAAGGGTGAGGGGGAGGGAGGGAAGGAGGAGGGAAGGGAAGAAAGGGACACCTTTAAAAGTTGAGCAAGGAACAAAGTGGGGGAAGTTGCCAAAAAAAGGGCTCTGTATCCAGGCTCACTGGTAACTTCCCGATCCCTCCCCTCCCTCTCGTGCACACCACACACACTTGTATTTTGCGCTGTCGTAAAACCCACGTGTCTCGCCCGGAGCCTGCCAGAGCCGAGCCGAGCGCCCGGCCGCGACTGCGATGAGCAACCACGGCAGAGGGAGCCCGGCGGCTCGTAGCTAGCCGGCCCGCCGGTCCCTGGCACCTGAGAGAGGATCACCCCACCTCCCCGTGGACAAAGACCAGAGAAGTCTCTACTTTCGGTCCTCCTCTGGCTCGAAGGCTCCCGCGGCTTCCGATACCTCCGCCTGCGCAGCAGCGCTCATCCAGCTCAGGTAAGGCAGGCTGGGGCCGGGCACAGCGGGGCACTTTCGCCCGGGACAGGGCTCTGGCGGGCCTCGTCCTCCGCCTCCAAACGCCAGTGTGGAAAGCAGGAGCAGCCGGAGAGAAGAGACCTGCGTGCGTGTGCGTGCAGCTGAACTTTCCTCCTCTTTATCCTCCTCCCTGTTGTCAGTGGAGAGTCGTTTGCTCCCGCGAAGAGAGGGAAGGGAATCAGAGGGGAGGACTTCGTGCCCCTGCGACGCGGTGAACTGCGCTCCTTGCGGGGCGGTCGGGGGCTCTCCGGCCGTGGGCTCGGCGTGACGAGATACCCGCTATTACCCGCACTCCGGGGGACAGTTTTGTAGCCCCGGCCACCACGGTTCTCCCGTGTCCTCCCTGAGGCTCTTCGGGACGAGATTTTCTCCTGAGGAGCCCGACACGGGCAGGGGAAGTGGCGCGCGTACGGTCCCGCCGCCGGTCCCGCACAGCCGGGGCAGAGCCCACGCGTGGCCCGGCGTGTCCAAGCGTGGAAAGCGCCGCGGGGTCGGGGAGGCCCTGCCGGGGCGGGGCGGGGGTCTCACGTCTTCTATCCCCTTCCTCCCCGCTTCACAGGCAGAGCGATGCTGAAGCCCGGAGACCCCGGCGGATCCGCGTTCCTGAAGGTGGATCCCGCCTATCTGCAGCACTGGCAGCAGCTCTTCCCTCAGAGCAGCCAGCTCAAAAGCAGTGGGGCCCTCGCCCAGCTTCAGCCGCCCGAGAGAGCCGAGCCCCCGGCCGACAGCCTCCGCCAGCGCCCGACCTCCCTCTCCTCCGTCTCCTCCTCCTCTTCCTCGTCCACTCCGTCTTCCTCCTCCACCTCCTCGTGCGTCGCCGCGGCGGCCGCTTCCCTGGCCGGCCTGACCTCCCTGCCTGTGACCCAGCTCCCAGTCTTCGGCTCGCTACAGAGCTCGGAGCTCCCGGCCGCAGGAGTGCCCGCTCCCCTGCAGAGCAAGGACTTGTGCGCGGCCGTCAGCGGCGGCGGCAAATGCGGCGACCGTGCGGCCGCTCGGTACCGCTGCACGGCCGAGGAGCTGGACTACTACCTGTACGGTCAGCAGCGCATGGAGATCATCCCCTTGAATCAGCACACCAGTGACCCCAACAACCGTACGTATCGTGCCCCTTCTCGCAATTCTCTACCCCTCATCCTCCGCCTCTTCCCTCACCGGGCCGGCCTGGGGACGCTCCAGGCTGGGAGACCGCAGTTGGTGTTTGTACCGCTCTCCTTTCACGAGAAGCATCCTCCACCCTGCCCTTGTCTTCCCTGAGCTGTCTTTGAGTTGTTCCCAGTTTTTTCAGGAGACGGGCGGCAGCCCCTCGGTGGCAGTTTTTCTTGCCTGAGACCCAGGTCCTTCCGTGGAAGGCACACTTCACCGGGAAGGCTGTGGTGGGGGTTGATTTCTTTCGGAGGCCTGCTTAGGAAAACGGATTCAGAAATGGTTCAGACCAACTTGCTAGAAAGGTGGTCCTTTCTCGCCTTGAATACCTCACTTTGTTCCTACCTGGAAATCCCAGGCTTCGCTGAATACTCAGAAAGCAATTACTCCTCCGAGCTGGGCAGGCAAAAGTTGCAGTTTTCATCCCATGGTCTAGGACAAAGTTTTCCTCCCTCTTATCTAAGAGTATCGTTTTCCTTTCAGACCTCGTTAACACGTCGCTGGTTTTAGTTTTCACCTTTACGGAAATGCATGACATGGGCACTTAATAAGAAAAACTGATTTCTAGACGAAAAAGTCTGCATGAGTGTCAGAATTCATTTAGGACATGGTGGATAGAAAGTGTTTAATACAGTTGCTGTTGCCAATTATACAGTTGGGGTTTTTTTGTTTTGTTTTTGTTTTTTTGGGGGGGCGAAGGGGATGCCCCTATTATTAAACATCTGTATCGATGAGAGGTTTGTAATTTTAGAATCTGGTTCTGTCTCTCCTTTGTTCCTTTATCTGTCAATCCTATGCAATTGAGGAAATTCACGGGGCGAAAAGAACTATATGAACTCCTAATAGCTCAACAGTTTTATTACTAACATCCAGAGCACACGGATCTGCTGTTGTTATAACAGTGCACCATGGCTTCGGCGAGTGTACTTTTTTTTTTTTTTGCATTGCTTCAAACACTCTCCTTTATACTAAGTTTTCTTAAAACTATTTATTTTTTGTTGTTCTTCTCAACCCCCACTCCCTAAATGTCTATTTAAGGAAGGCTGTTGAACAGAAAAACGATACCCCCACGCCAGCGATCCATAAACACACGCCCAAGCAAAACGCAGATTCGTTTAATTTTATTTCGGATGCAGAGCTTGTTTTGAAAGTTTCCATGAAACTCTGCTGTGTGTTAATTGAACTGCGTAGATGCTAGCAAAGTCTTGGGAGTTGGGGGTACTTTCAAGAGAAAAGTTGAGTCGGAGTTTGGTGGAGATTTTTCCCGCCTTCTTAACATTGCAAGTCTTTCTGTATTGGATGTCGACTTTATTTTAAGTGACTTCCTTATGCTTAGTTTCACCCTCTAGTGAAACGTGTTCATGTATATTTCTATTCTCGGGTGCAGAAAACGTGATCTCATAAATTACATGCAGTAAATGTAATCCGAAATGCACTTCTAATGGCCAACCGAACCGTTCAGACAATACATGTTTTACTTCTCGGAGCAGCTCTGTAAATTTAAAAGATAAAGATTTTAAAATGAGAAAGGAAGATTAAAAAAAAGAATTTGTGGGGAGCATTTTTAAGGGTTGAGTGGAGTAATAGAACCCCGCAGAGTCGCAGGCGAAGCCTGAATATTTTCTTCCCAACCGCTATACTAAAGGGGAATTTCGGAAAGCAAACGGGTTGATTTCAGAAAGGACGCTTGTGTGTGGCGTTCAACTGGCAGGGGACAGCCCTCGTCTTCGAAAGAACGGGCAGGGGGCAGCCAGGGCCGTGTGTCGAGCTCTTTTTTTTTTTTTTTTTTTTTTTTTTAAACTTGTTTATAGGGCGACTTTCGCTCCAGCGGTCATTAATTGAGCAAAACTTTTAACGTGAGTGTTTCAGCCTTCTGAGGCCAGGTGCATTTGCTTTGGGCAACTCTTGCCGTAAAAAAAGGAAAAAAAAAAAAAAAGAAAAAAAAGAGTAAACTGCAAGTGAAGAAGGAGTGCGGGAACTGCATCCACTACCGTGCCACGCACTTCACGCACTGGGACGATCAGGGGAACAAGCTGCAGGGCACGGGCCTGGCTGCCCGTCTCCCCGAGTCCATGGGCAGGCAGGATTTCCAGCCGCCTTGACTTCCAGCCTCACTCCCCTTTACGCACCAGGGGTACCCGTTTGAGAGAAAGGAGGTGGCAAGCTGTGGGCGAGGTCAGGAGCCGTCGACTTTAGTTTGAGTTGTACTTGCTTGCTGCACTTCCATCTCCGGGCAGCCCTACCGAGACCCCGAAACGGGCTGGCTCTGCGCAGCCTGGCACAGACCCCCAGCGCCGGCATCGACACCCTCACCAGAGCGGGGGCGCCTGCCGCCGGCTCTGCCGGGCCCAGCCCAAGCACTGGGGGTGTCGGCAGCTCCCCGGCTTCTGCCTGGGTTCTAATCTTAGATGCATCTCCCTCGCCAAGCGAGCGAGCGCCTCGTTTCCCCTACTTTTCCAAGTATTTCCCCTCCCCCCACCACGAGCATCTTCTCCTTCTCGGCGGCACCCCGCGTCCCCCGGTCTCCCGAGAGGACCCGTTCTCTCCGAAGAAGCACCGGCGAGCTCCCTGTGTGCCGCCGGGCGCTCTCCGTGCGGCCGACCCGGCCCAGCGGGGCAGCAGGAGGCGGCGGGGCCCGGCGGGGAAGCCCGAGCGGCGGCGGCGGCGCTCCCGGCCCCCGCCACCCCGACTGGCCCCGCTCCGCAGCGCCCGGCCCGGCCCGGCGCCGGGAGACCGCCGCGGGAAGATGGATGGGCGGCGGCTTCCCCGTAGACACACGCCTTGATCGTCAAATACCAGTGCATATGGCACGGTCTTGGGCGAGGGAGGGGGCCGAGGGCCGCCACGGAGTTGCGGGTTAAGCGTCTGTGTTTAATTGCTTAAAATTGAAAGGGGGGTAGCTAGGGAAAAATAATAATAATAATAATAAACAATCAAGAGACAAACCCCTAATTAGGGCCCTGCAGTCTTTACTCCCAGGGAAGTAAAGGGGATTATGTTAAAGCCGTGATAATGTGGCAGGCGACTGGGGACCGTTTGCTTCCCAGCCTTGAATCTGGAAGGATGAGGGTATTTCTGGGCGCTGGGGGAGGGGCGCTCGGGAGGCCAGAAGGAGAGCTCCTAGGATGAGTCTGGGGGCTGCGGCTTGGTCCCATGGAGGCTTGCCCTTGATTGCTGAAGAGAGGCTTTCTCAATGAGAAGTCTGAGACTCCTCTACCTTCTCCAGAAAGCGCCAACCTGCCACTATAATAAATACGCTGTGTAAAACTGAAGTGTCACGCGACCAAGCACTTTGCACACCTCTTCCCATTCAATTTACGGGGAGACAGTGTATATATAACATGCTGTGAAGTGGATCGGTGTGGAAAATATTTGGATTTTTTTTTTTCCCTCTAGGCTGCTGGTAACCTGTATGATTTAGCTATTTTACATCATTAGTTACCCAGAACCCTTAAACATAGCAGATAGCCATACATTAGATTGAGGTTAGAGAAGGTGGTGACTGTTTATTTAGGGTGATAAAATGGTCCATCAGCAGTAATCTCCATCGATATGTGCCACCAGGAGATGAAGGATGAGGGGACAAGCCACAATTAATTGCCCTATAGTTTTGTAGGAGAGAGTGGAGCCGGTGCGGACTGAACTTCGATCTCCTCTCCCAGAGCCTATTCATCATCTCTACATTGTATATGGGGGTCTCTCAGGGGCAGAGGGTGGCAAGGTTTATCTACACACAATATTCTCCTACCCTTCTCATACCTGACATAGAAATTCAATTCATTCATACCTTCAGCAGAAGGCAGGGAAAATAAAGCCCACCTCCCTCAACCCGCCCCCCACCCGCCTGTTAAAAATAACCCCAAAGCCGCTCCATAAGCGGGACGTCCGCCCTGACCCACCCCAGGGTGCCCAGGCGGCCCTCGCACAACATCTTCCCCCGAGGAGCCGGCGCGGGGTGTGTCTGACCCTCGAGCGGGGTCTCGGACCCCGCGGCGCATCTTGCGCCGGTGCGGGAGCGGGACGAGGGCTTCTCTTCGTGTCCCCCGCGGCGGAGGCGCTCGGAGTCCCGCTGGGGGAACGGCAAGAGGAACAAGGGGGGAAAAGCCCATGAAGGGAGGGCGTCGGGCGCCCGGAACTCGGTGCCGACCGCGGGTCTCCACCAGTTGGCGGCGACTCGGCACCCCCGGGCTGCCATCCGGCCCCTGGGGCAGCAGGCTGAGCTTGGTCTCGCTCTCTGAAACGAGTATTTAGAATAAATAATCATATAAATACAGAGCACCCGAGGAGAAAATGCATCTGTGTTTTGTTCTGCCGCAAGTCTGCCTTGAGTTAGGCTGTCTGCGAGAAACTGCTATTAATTTTGAAAAAGGACGTTGATACCAGCTTGTTGATGAAGCAATTGAGGTACAAGGGCAGCTGTGATCTCCTGGAAAACTCCAACCCTCAGGAAAGCGAAGGGTACTGTCTCATCCAGCCCACTCTCCCGCTTAGCTGGGTACCCAGGCCCAGGAAGGGATGCAGGGCCAGCTGTGGTGATTTATACTTGCAAGTGAGTAATACCATGTGAAATGATGGCCACTTACACTGGATACCTGCATGCTTGCGGTGAATTATGAAGCACAGGGTCAGAGGCCACCCTTCTTTAATACCAGCAAACTGCAGGTATCCAGTATAACTGCACCTTTGAAGCATATTATTGCTGAGACAAAAATGTATTTCTTTCATTTATTGTTACAGCTGGTTTGCTGGTTACAACCCTACCTTTCACTGACAAAAGCTTTCTCCTTTCAGATTTCCTTTAAAGCATGCAGTAGTAGCATTTTTTAGTTTGGATTAAACCAACCTAAGAGAAGAGTGTTTAGAATTCTGGTTAGGGTCAACGATATGTCCTTTTGCTTGGTTTTAGTACTTTTAAGTGTACTCACATGGAGCTATAGTGCTGGCATTACACCGTGTTCATTTTTATGGAGGCACATAAACACTAACATATTGCAATTCTCTCAAAAGAGCCATATCAAACAGCTCCACTAGGAAATCCTTTAATTTTTTTTTCTTGCTTCCTCCTTTCCTCAGTCCTGCTGTCTACAGAGTATGAACATATAAAGCGAGGGACTGATCTCCTTCCGAAGTGTTTGGCCATATCTGGCCCTGCAGTGGAGCGTTCTCACTTACCTTACCTTCTACCTTCAGATTTTATCAGGAGACGCTTTGCTCTGGCTGCACTCCTACTTTCTTTTTCCATTTTCAGCAAATCCCTGAATTTTCTCACATTTATTGCTTCTTGGCTTGATTTAGGGTTTGACTGATGTTATTACAGACAGTAGAAGTGTTCATTTCATCTGTCCTTGGAGAAGGCCTGTACTCACACAGCTACTCTTCGAGGCCAAAACAGGAGGAAGGGCACAGTACATATCTCCTTGTTGCCCTGTGTGGAAGTTCTCTGGAAGGTCCACACTTACACAAGTGTTTTATGTGTAAAACATACTGTTTTATGTGTACTTCCCACACCTGCATGGGTTGCCATCCAGGCTGGAGACTCCAGCGATGTCAGTGGACCACAACACTCCCCCTCTCCATCCCCTTCCTCTCTTCTTTTCCATGTATTATTAAGTGAGTTGGTGCATTGTATTCCATTGTTCTCTGCTGGATACATGAACATGAAGATGATGCTGTTGATTCTACCTGTGGGATAGGGTAGTGTGCAAGTCTTGGAGTTCTTGCTTTTACCTCCTATCTGATATTAAGACATCTTTCCCTTGTCCTCTGACGCAAAGGAATCCACTGCCTACAGTGATGGTCTTTAAATGGATGCTTTCACATATTATGCAAAAGTTAGTCACAGAAGAGGAAAAGATGCACAGTAGCCTTTTTACTCAAGGCATGGTAAAATATGTCTAGGATGGGTTCCACTCCTTTAAACATTTATGAGAATTTTTTAAAATTTTATTTGTACAATTGCATAATGACTAAAGATAAATGTATAAAACATGGAACTAAGAAGAAATTCAGTACTGCTTAGTATTAAAGACAGATTCTTCCACCCTCATCAACAAGCTACTAGCCAAAGTAGTTTCAAAAGATGTTCCATTTTCCAAATTTTCAGCTTTGGCAGGACAAAGAGAAAGGAACACAGCAGGGGATCAGATACTGTGGTTGCCAAGCATTAAGACATTACCAGTATTTTTGGACAGTGGAAAATAAATATCACCATGTGTGACTTTCTGTAATAAATGACGGTGACACAGGGTTTGTTTATACTCCTTGAAAATTTCTTAGTTTCTTTTTCTTGGAAATGTAGAAATAAAATATTTAAGCCACACTCATGCCCATATATTGTCAGGACAAACTGAAGAAATTCTTGTTCTGGGTAGGTACATGTGTGTGAATTAGAAGTTATATATATGTTGTGTCAGGATGCACAAAATTGTCACTGAAATTATTTGAGTGGCATCATGAAGATACCTTAGAATGTTTAATGCAAATTGCTTCAGAGACATGGTGTCTCTAAGAAAGCCATTAGTAATCGAGTGGCTGTGAGGGGAGTTACACATCTAGAAGATGGTCAAAGAGTGCAAACAAGTCAAATTCAAGGACCTGCCCTAGGTGCTAATTGACATCATTGTTAGACACCATCTCTTTTAAGTCCTCAGTTTTCCTGTCAGATGTTTTTTTTCTAACTTGCATGGTTAGATGCCATATTATAGAATCATAGAACCATTTAGGTTGGAAAAGATCTGTAAAGTCATCAAATCCAACTGGAGATTATAGTGTTCAGCCATAATCTGCTTAAAGTGTATCACATGCCAAAATATTTGGGATCGTGGGTTTGGTTTTTATTTTTTTTCTTCTCTTTTCCTATTTAAGATCCTTTCCTATGTGACCTCCATTGCCAAACTCCAGTGCTGCCCCTAGCATCTTTGGATATGCCAAAAACACAGAGGTTTTTGATGACTGGTTTTGAAGAGGAGAGGGAAGAAAAGATGCTGTGGTGATACCTCACTTTCCAAAATAGCTGTGGAAATAATAGTAATAATAATAAAAAAATAATAATTAAAAAAAATCCAGCATGTATTTGCTGCCTTTTATTCATCATGCCTGGAACTGGCTGTAGGAATATCTACTGCATAATAATCTTCTCTCAGGACCAGCCAGAAATGTTTTCCCTGGGGTCCTGCAAACCTTGTCTTCCAACCACCTCTAACTGACTTGTCTGAGCGAGCAAACCCTTCTGCAGTTGCGGCTTAACCCAACAGAAGAGTCGTTTTGCGGCAGGGAGTATGTCTTTAAGGCAAGGCAAAATTTCACTCTCCAACCAGAAGTTGTGTTTTTGCCAACGTAAGGGCGGTCTCCACTAGGGGGCTTTATCCTGCCACGCTGGCCGACTCCCCTCCTTCCTGCCTCCTGCCCTGACCTGTCGGGGAGGGATGGCACGGGGCGAGTTTCATAAGCAGACCTTGTTCTGCAGGGGCACCCGTCGGAATAATGCACAACTCAGGGCTTGATGGCTTGCTTTCTGCTAAGATCTGTAATCAGTGGTACTGGTGGGGAACTTGGACAGACAAGCACTGGGTAGAGGCACATGAATTTCCTGCAAGACCAGAAGGTGTAATGATTTTGAGGGAAATTAGCTTCCACATGTAAGCGACAAGTATTTTCATATTGCTGAATGCACTATTTTTGTATGATAGAATTTCAAAGAGGATAACAGGAAAGAGTGCTTAGGTAGCACGTCTGAAAGTGGAGAATGCACATAGAAGCTGTATTTTGAAAATACCTCTTTTATTATCCTCTACTAGGTTTGACTGAATTGAGTGGAAGGTTTTCCTTTGAAGGATCTGTAGGAAAGAGGCCTACTTAATACACAGTACATCCACCTCAGAAAGAAGAACATCTGAATCAGGTCCCCTGAGAATTGAAACTGTGGTTACAGGCAATCTAGCAAGTCTAAATTTGTGACATAGACCAAGAAACTCCAGCTTCTGTGGTGAATACTGTTTTTATAAGAAGGGGTGTAAGATCTATAAAATTATTAGGGGAAAGATGTAGGACTTGTTACATGAGTACTATGACATGGTTATTGTTTTTTCTTTGTGTTTCTGGAATAAATTTAATGAAAACCTTTATTGTGCTACACAAGTGAAATGTGCAGAAGATACTAACTTATTTCAATTGATTTACTCGTACGTTAACATATCTCCAGATTTCTTGAACATGAAACATTTTCCTGGAAGATGTACATTCATGGCATGTGCCATAGTGTGCAGTGGAAACATTTAATCAAAGTTTTCTCAGGAAAGGAAAAGGATTGTGGGATCTTCTCAAAATAGAATCACATCATCTGTTCTTAAAACAGTTAGGAAAATGAACGTTTTTGGTGGTTTTTTTTTGTTGTTGTTGTTTTATTTTACATTTTTTTTCCCCTAGCCTCAGCTACATATAACAGGTAAAGAACATGCATTCCTATTCAATAAAAAAAAGTGTTCATGTGTGTGCTAGGAATCAGTAATACTCGCTACATAATTTCAGTTTTAATATTAGACTTGGCTTTAAGAAAGTAAATGTCCATGTTCCAAATTGTCATTCATGAGGTTCTGGTTTATTTATTTTATTTTCTAAACAAGCAGGCATGCACACACATGTTAATGTGAAAACCAGAGTGAATGTTCATTTAAAATAAGGATTAAATGAAATCCTGTTTCAATTAAACCCTTGGGCTGAGCTGTGGTGAGGCAAATGAGAGGGACTGGTAAGGCACTCTGACTGTGCTTTAAAACGTCTTGCTGAAACACATTGGGATGGTTTAAATGGGCTATTTATATTAGTCAAAAAATGAATCTTAAAAAACTCAGTTAAAATAAATGAGTCTTGGCAGGTCTGTGAACATACCAGGCTTGCAAATTGTCTGCAGGGTTTCTGCTCAGCCTTTGGAATTTTCTTATTTAGGGCTTTGGCGAGATTAGGAAAACCATCCTAAGCAACGCACAGAGGGGCACGGTGTGTGAGTGCTGGGCTGCCGAGAAATGGCAGGAAAAGCACAGGGATCTGCATGGTCTCGCCCGTGGCATTAGTGGTGGTGGTGGCCAGCAGCACCACACTGATGGTGTTTCTCCCTCTTTGCCCCTCAGGCTGTGACATGTGTGCTGACAACCGCAACGGTGAGTGCCCTATGCACGGGCCCCTCCACTCCCTGCGCCGGCTGGTGGGCACCAGCAGTGCAGCCGCAGCAGCCCCTCCACCTGAGATCCCGGAGTGGCTCCGGGACCTGCCCCGGGAGGTGTGTCTGTGCACCAGCACTGTGCCTGGCCTGGCCTATGGCATTTGTGCAGCACAGAGGATTCAGCAGGGCACCTGGATTGGGCCCTTCCAGGGAATCCTGCTCTTGCCAGAGAAGGTTCAAGCAGGTGCCATCAGGAACACTCAGCATCTCTGGGAAGTAAGTTATCATCTTTCCTTCCTTTGATCATTTTGAAGTAGACATGGAATGCAATTGTATGTAGTACCAGCACTGTCCACTAGCCATGAAAAAAGCAAACAAACCCACAATTTAAGTAAGCTGAGCAAGCAGATTTGAAAATGTAAACAGTGCAAGCAAAAGCAAAAGGTATCCAGAAAACCAGTGGATACCACAGATACCAGAGTGGTTTGCAGAAGAGTACATTGATGCAGAGGCTGTGATGAAGAGTAGAGAGACATGACCAGAGAAGTTTGAAGCTTACAGACCCCAGTGCCTTCTACATTTTGGCCTGAATAACAAGAGCTGATGGAGCTCTCGGGTCACAGCACCAGCTGTATCATCTTAGAGTAGCACTTGTGGGTTGAGATGGCATACTGCACCATGACTGTGAGGCACAGGCAGCCTGAGAAAGCTGCTGAAACATGGGCAGGGGTCTATTCTACAGCCTTGCTCTTTGCACAGTGAAGCTGTTAGTGCTTGTTCACAGTGTAGTTCAGCTCTGGTCCTGTACTGACTGTGCATTCCCTTAATGATGCTTACAGTGCTTTTGTGTGAAAGCCACTTTCACATCCCCCCAGTTTTGGTGGTTTTTTTTTTTTTTTTTTTTTTTTTTTTTTTTTTTTTTTTTTTTTTTTTTTTTTTTTTTTTTTATATTTTTCTCTGTCTTAAAGAGGGTAACAGTAATAACTACTAGGGAAAATGCATGATCCCTGTATGTCAGAAACAGCTTACTTTCTTCCCAGTATCTTCCATTCATTTTTTCTTTGGTTTATGCTGATAAGTGTGATTTTTTTAGTTCTGCTCAGTCCTCTGTAGCTTCTACTCTTCTCTCTAGACTAACTTGTACAGTGAGTCATAGAAACATGTCCATAGATCTGCAGGTGGTATTTGCTCATCAAGACCAAATCTGAATCTTCAGAATAGAACGAGTCCATGAAGATGAAAGAAGTGTTTTTGCTGTCTTCAGGGAGTATAGAGTAAAAGTGGATGGATTTTTGAAAGATTTTTGCTGGTGTGGAGTAGGAGTCCTCACACTTTCCCTATATGCAAACAAATAGTAAATAACGTGTTGAGGTCTTTGTCTCAAAGTCTTTACTCAAAGGACCATTGTGGCAAGCGGATTTTCACATTAAAGAATAAAAGATCAGTCTCAGAACACACTCAAATGTGCTCAGAAAAACTGGATGACTTGCAATCCTTGGAAGTTTTATTGCTGTCTCCATCAATGGAGATGGAATTTCTCTTGTATAGTATATATTGATGATTTGGTCTTAAATCTGTTCCTACCAAAACCCAGTGGTTATGAGAGAATTTTGGGATATATTATTAATCAAATATTTTTTATGGGACACCCTATATGCATGTTGGAGGCTTTATTTTAATTGTTGAGAGGGGTGTTGTCATTTAGACTATTCTAATTAACAGAACATAAAGTAGTAAAATGAGCTTGCCAGATCCACCGATTACATAAAATATTGAAATTTAGATAATATAAATGGACTCAGAGAATTTTACATAGTCCATAAATATTTAAACATTATCTTTTCTTTTTAAGTGTGAATCAGTTTTATGCAAGTTAAGTTGCAAATCTTGACAATATCTTTTTTTAGAGGCAAGAATTTTTAGTCAGATTTCAGGGTAACTTAAAAACTCTTTTAAAACAATGAAAGAAAAGCTAAAAGCAAAGAACCAAAAGATGTTAAGCAAAAATAAGAAATAGTGCTATTGAGTATGTCAGATTCAGGCCATCAGCAGGTCTCAGCTGAGTTTTTTTGTGAGATTCCTCTTCTATTCTTACACACAACACAGATTTCCTGCTGGCTAGCAAAAAGAGTTGTGTGTATTTTAAGTGAATTATCTTAAAAATAATAATTGATTTATTATTATTGTATTGTTCGGCAACTAATGGTCTTGAATTATTTCTGGTTTGAATTAATGACAAACTGTTAGCAAAGAAGCACATACTCTAAGCTTTAGTTTTGGCTGTTTCTCATTTGTTTTGACTTTCAATTTGGTGTGTTTTATCTATTACAGAACAAATGTTTAATAAAAAAAAATAGTAAAAGAAAGTAATCAGAAAGTGTGTGTGATTTTACAAAACCTGACCTATGAAAATAAATAAAAGCAAATGAAAGTATATATCTGAATAGACTGTATTCTTTTAGTCTGTATAGTATACGAGTGTGGATTAAATCCCTGAAAATGAAAAAGGAATGACTCACCACTGTTCCTTTACAACTTTGTGGCTTTAGTCAGTTCTCTTCCACTAATATTTTAAAGATATCTGCAAATACAATCTATCTACAGATCAGTTACTCAGCATTAGGTCTTGATGGACCTTAAAGAGAGAACTTCTCTTTCTTAGTATTGCTATAACATTTTAACATTTTTCTCTCAGCGCTGTAAAGTCAAGTTGATAGATATTTGTTTTAGTTTACAGTTCTTTGTTTTCAGTGTACACCAGAGAAATAGAACTGCTATTGCAAAGACTTTCAAGAATAGTTACTGCTTTGGTGTTTTTTGTTTTTTTTTTAAGCTCTTTGTTGTGGGAAACATCAGAGGCACGGCGTTTGATGTATAGCTCAACCTTGTGGAAATATGCTTCAGTCTGTCTGCACAAGTGTTCCCACCATGCACTCGATGTTAGCTTTGTATGTAGTCCATGCAGCATAATGTACAACAATTCAGAGTAAATTACATACCATTCCATTACCTCACAACAGGCCTTGACACCTATGGGTGTTCATGTGAAATTATAGAGCTCTCTCACAATCATTCAAGATTTTTTTTTTATAACTTACAGAAAGATAAGCCTTTCAGAAAGCCAAAAATATTAGTCATTTTCAGTTGTAGTGCTTTTTTTTCCCCTTTGGCCCACTTCTAGTCAATCCAGAGTTTGCTTGTATTTTATAAAAATACAATAAACTCTGATTTGTTTAAAACAAAAACAGGACTGGGTGTATTAAGTAAACACTCTCTTTGGTAATACAGGCATTTTTTCCAGCAGTGCTTGATAATATTTCTGATCTCCTTTTTTTTTTTTTTTTTCCTGAAGTAGTGAGAATAATTCTTTTGTTATTGCAAAGCAAACAAAGACTTTCTCAGCAATTAGGTCTTACTGATGAGAATGAGATAATTTTTCCCTAATGTGTTTTCTAATAAAGAAGTGAAAAGGCACACTTGATTCCAACATATATGAAAACATTATCTCAATTATTAATGTGTCCTTACTCCCTGAAGATAAATTAATCTAGTTGCACATGGTTTCCCCTTTCTGTTTAACATCAAAATTTAATAAGAGTAGACTTCAGGAAAGTATAAGATATCCACTTAAATTCTGTTAGAAAAAAAAAGAAGTTTAAAAGGAGCTGCATGTTGGTAGTTGAAGTTTTACAGGCTCCAAACTTTAAACTGTGAATTCTGGAAACAGCCAATTTGTAAATGGTCTTTCCCCTGCAAATGTAGTTTAGATGAAAAAACTTTTACTGACAGACATATCAAAGAATACAGTCTTACAGTTTCCTTTTCTTCATTTGCCGGATAAAGAGTTTGCTGTCTTATTTATTTATTTATTTATTTATTTATTTATTTATTTATTTATTTGGTCAGAGGTCAAATAGTTATTTTTTTCTTAAAATAGTCCAAGAAGGTCAAATATATTATTTCACTTTATTTTAGCTTGACTTAATTCAAGGTTAGCATTTCTGGGAGAAATGCTTTTTCATATGCCACTTTTCTTACGGGCATGAGCAAAATATATCAGGATGTTCATTAGTGAACACAAAATGGTAAACCGGTGTAACTGATTTTTCCCTTAAAAATTTCTCCCCTCCCCTGACTCCCAAATTAACTGGTGTTACTAGAACGTGTGCATGTCATTTTTATAAAGTACCACTTGGGTACTTATTGGCCTTTTCGCGTGTCAACTGAAGTAAAAGAAAGCATTCTCTGTAACTTCATCTGGACCAAGAACAGGTATTTTTCTGGGATGCATGTTGGCCAGAGCCCACGCAGCAATACTGTACATTTCTAAACAAATTAATAGGAACAGAGAATTTTTACCTTTCAAATGAAGCACTCATTCCAGCTGTGGTGATAGATTTGTATTCAGATTCTCAAGCCTGTAGTTTTGGACTAAATTCGCTATTACAGCAAAGCACTGGGGAACAGAATTATGCGCATGCCGTCGTTCTATTAAAGTGAAAATTATGTTTCTCAGCAATCCATCATCTAGTGTTCTAGACTGCTTGTCAGCCTTTTCTCAACGTTGTCATGTTCATGAAATTCAAATAATTATGTCTTGAAAAAACCCCTTAGTTATACTACTATTATATCTTTAATTATGTGGAGTAACAGCTGATGCCATTCTGTTACTTTCTTGGTTTGCCATTTCTGAGGATTTTGCATTGTTTATCAACCTTGCATTTATTTCCTATTGGAAAAGCACAATAATTTTTTGCTTTACATGGATTTTAGGTTCATGTACTGCCTACTGGAAATATCTGTAATGTGTTCAGTAGCTTGCTAAGCTGTAAATTCAGTATGAAGTGCCACGGCTTCCTTAATGTGTGTAGCTTAGGAGAAAATTGCACTAAGCCACTACAAAGCAACTTGCTATCATTAGTACTTCTGGATCATTTAGTATCACATTTTTCCAGATCACTTCTGTATGTTACAGATTCCTTTCTTAGGGTCAATGCAGAGTTGGTTTGATCAGAAAGGTACATGGGAAGGTACTTTATATTTGATAATTTTTGTTCTTATAAAAGCTAAACTAACCCTTGATTTTTTTTTAGAAGCCTTGTGATTTTTATAAGACTTTCTCACACATTATCTTCATGTATTTCCATATCTTTGGTATCTTCATTTGATCTACAGAATGATCTACAACAGATCTACATTTATCTACAATAGATGTACAGATCTAATGTATGCCTGGCAGATAAATAAGCCTAAGCACATGTATGCCTGGCAGATAA